AGGGCGGCTCTCTGTAAGCCTGTTGGGTACTGCGGACGAGATCGGATATCTCCGAAATCCAGTTAAGAAGTACGGATATCCACCAGCCCTGGTCACACTAATGTATACGACCGCGTTAGACAACAGGAATGGGATGAACATGATGGGAAAGCAAGCTTTTTAGATCAGTATAACACGTCAGTCAGTGTCCACAATACGTAGTTGAGACATACGCAAAGATGAATAATTAGGAAATGACATGTGCTCTTACGCTAATAAAATAAATGAAGACAAATAGAGGCACGACTGTGGAGGAACAACGAAACTCAGTAATGACAAGATCAAGAAATAGGTCTACTTGCCTACAACGCAGGAAGACAAGGTTTTCCTCTTCTACGCACAATCAAGGTCATCACAACTATTAAACAATACAGAACACCTGAGTTACCGCTTCGTACAACCAATTAGTTTATTGCTAGGTTTGTCTTTTCTCGGGCAATGGACTTGACAAAAGTTTGAAGCCTGTGCGGATAAAGCCATATCCCAGTGTTTGGATGTTCTCCGCTAGTAAAAATGGGAATCTTCCAAAAACCCTTCAGGAAAATCCGTCTTCCATTAGATGTGTGAACAAAAAACCGATAAGGTATAACCACTGCACCGCACATGCAAATATAGCAGGATAACAGAGGCAGGACAATTCTAGATAAACCTACAACTCATTTTCATTGATTCTATCTAGAAAAATACATGCTGAATGAATTAATCCGAGAATATTTATGGCTACAAGTAAACGGAAAATTCTAACTTTCGATCGTATAAGAATATAAGTGGGAATAACTAGTATTTTTTGAAGATTACCGGAACGAAAATCAATGGAGGTGATGGCTCCGCCATCCTGAGCGACACCGACCAGTGAAACATCATATCGCAAGTTGTGCAAAATTATACGTCCATCGTTCAAACCGATAGCGCATACATCTTTGGCCGGCGATTGAGCCAGACAAGTTACGGCAGCGTCAAATCCTTTAAACCAGTAGATCGACTTTCCAGTAACAGCATTCCATAGTTTCAATGGACCGTTAAGACTGCCGAGTAGCAGCTTGTTCTGGTAGAATGAAGGGTGAAGCATTGCAGAGACAACAAAGGTGTCAGTGGAGAACTCTTCTCGTCTAATTTCCGCTAAAATACAGTGAGTTGAGATATAAGCTGTTTACTTCGGGTTTTTAAATTCCAAACTATGAGAGTCCCAGACTCATCGTAAGAGGCAAGGAAAGCGTCAGAGAATGCCAAAAGCTCAACAATTGGGCTTGTGTGCGCCTCAAGGCAGTAAAGTACATGCCGAAGACCTCGGAAAGCATAGATTGTATTGCCTGCGGCTGCATAGATTAAAGATCGGTCCGAGGTAAAGACACGTATGTCGGATGGTAAGCAGTCACCTATATAAAGTGAGATTCGGAACAAAAGGCAACTTACTAATTCCAACGAGCCTGAGGTTGGGCAACTGAAAGAGAGGAAGTGGTGGGAAGTTAGGAAAAATCGAGAATGGTCGCAACACATGGGGATATTTAAAAGGGATACAAAGACGTATTGAGAATATGTAGCACCTTCAAACCAACTTAGTGGAAGTTGCCCCTTGGTTCACCGTGGCCTTACAGAGAAACCCATACGAATTGGCTATCTGGTAGTTTTTGAAGGAGACCAAATTCTAGACTTCAAACCACTATTTCAAAGAGAAAACGGTTCGATCCAGCCGGATAATGTCCAGCGTTAGTAACAGGAGGGCAT